TGACGTTCGGCGCCGCTTTCCCGTAAGCCTAAAAGTTTGACAATGGTGTTTGGATAGTCGGTGGAATCACGCTCGACATTCCAAACACCATCGTCAAACTTTTAGGCTTATGGGAAAGCGGCGCCGAACGTCACACGTACACGTTTACACGTTTAAAACGTGCGCCTCAACCTCTCTAATAATTATATTTTGTTGCCTTGTAATCCAGAGTAGATTCTTGTTGAAATATCCAATACTGATTACTGAACTGTTGAATAATGTTGGGAAGAATACGTTACAAATATATCAGTAGGATAGGATTAGGTAACTGTAATGGAAACAAAAAATGTTTTTATCACTTGTTCAAATTCCACTCTAAACTATAGATAAACCTGATATGCTAAGATGAATAATATTGCTTATCAATGAAAGAAATGTGTTTTATTTATTCTCTGTCATTTCTAACATTAATAAATATATACTATCAATATTTTTGGAAGTATAGAAAAATTATTTTGATGCCAATACTAAATGAATTTATAATTTTAAAATATTCTAGTTATATCTTTTATAATTACTTTTAATCTAGAATATTATTTTTATAAATAAATGTTAATTGTAATTAAATAATAAAATGAATGCTAAAAATTTTTCGGTAGATGATTGCTATTATTTCTCTGATGATCAAAGATGTTATAATAGAAAAAAGTTCCTGACAAAATGAAAAGAGAGATATTGCAGTCATCAGATTGTTATATAGTATAAGAACGTGTAAATAAACATTTGCCAATATATAATTAAATGGAAAACAATTTTTGGAATTTGGTCTTCTAAAGTTTTTATCTATATTTTGAGATATTAAAGATTGACTAAAGTTTTTATTCATGATTTCACTATATTTTAGAACATAATACTATTGATCATTGATGTAACAGTCATCTGTTATGCAAATATTTAATGTTTGATATTTTATTTTAGAACTGTTTTAAATTTTTCTTGATATTTAAAAGCATCAGATTTGAATAATTTGTTAGCATTGCTTAAAAATATAAATATGATTTTAAATATTTAATCCAACTTAAAACTATGATTTTGTTTAATGTAATAAATACTAGTTAAAGAGAACTAATTAGATTACTTTGATGAATTGATATTAAAATCATATTATCATTGGTGTGTTTATATTAGGTGCCAACTTACCTGAAACAGACTATAATTATGTATATTTAAATATATTTCTACAGCTCTCTACATAATTGTATTTCTTCACTCCTTGAAATTTTGCTGATATTATCAGTTGATGACTATTCAAATGTATCTGATAAAAGTAATGCTATTTTGAAGGAGTTTGCTAAATATAATGTTAATAATAATCGTAATATACTTGATATATTAGAAGATGATTTACACAGTTTGGTAATAAAGTTACCAAGGATTGTAAAAACTCAAGGTAAAAAATTTTTATAATTTTTAAACGAATAAGTAATAAATTGTTATTATTTATCAGTATTATGATTTTTATTTAGATGAGAAACAAATATTGTCATCTTTAAATTTGCTTCTTGGTTATTTAAATGTATTTGGTAAGCAGCTAAGCATTTTACATATAAAATCAGATAGAAATGAAATAAATTGTAAATTTTCTAAAATAAAGTATTTTATAGGTTCTCAAATTGTCCACTTTCTCCATTCACTTCCTCACCAGAAACGAATTATTTTAGCTTTGTTACATATGGCAGAATTGGAAAATAGTAGTTTAATAGATGAAGTTGCAACTCAAAGTAAGCAAATAAATTTTAGAATTTTTAAATGAATTATTTTAAAAAGGGTTTAATTATTTTAATTTGTTTACATCTAAACATTTGTATAAAATTATTAATTAAATCATAACTTTTTTCTTCAAAAACATATCTTGATCTATTTTTTCCTCACAATGCTGATTTTAATTTTCTTATTTTGTTCATAATAATTAAGCTCATACAACGGTTTAAATAGGCTGTGTAATAAAGTGTAAAAGTTGAAATTGTAATTTTTAAATTGTTTACAGAATTAAAAGATTTTTTATGAACTTTAAAGAAACTGAGTTTTTTCAGTAAAAAACTTATAAAAATTTACAAGATAAAAATTAAATATGAAATTTCTTAAATATTGTTAATATGTTTTAATGACTTTACTTTTTCTCTAAACATCTTAACATTGTAATCACACTGTGATACAAAATCNAGCTTTGTTACATATGGCAGAATTGGAAAATAGTAGTTTAATAGATGAAGTTGCAACTCAAAGTAAGCAAATAAATTTTAGAATTTTTAAATGAATTATTTTAAAAAGGGTTTAATTATTTTAATTTGTTTACATCTAAACATTTGTATAAAATTATTAATTAAATCATAACTTTTTCCTTCAAAAACATATCTTGATCTATTTTTTCCTCACAATGCTGATTTTAATTTTCTTATTTTGTTCATAATAATTAAGCTCATACAACGGTTTTAAATAGGCTGTGTAATAAAGTGTAAAAGTTGAAATTGTAGTTTTTAAATTGTTTACAGAATTAAAAGATTTTTTATGAACTTTAAACTGAGAAACTGAGTTTTTTCAGTAAAAAACTTATAAAAATTTACAAGATAAAAATTAAATATGAAATTTCTTAAATATTGTTAATATGTTTTAATGACTTTACTTTTTCTCTAAACATCTTAACATTATAATCACACTGTGATACAAAATCATCTTGAAATGTAAGAATGAGACATTCCAAAATCATTAAAGCTTTTGAAATGTCTTTCTTTATAGAATCCTTTACTGTATTAAAGTGAAATCACTCTGAAAAACAGCTTTATTTTAGTGTAATGCAGCAGTTCCCAACTTATTTTTATTGCAGAACTCTTTTCACCTCACTAAAAATGTTGGAACCCTGACAGTTTTTAATGAATATAGATAAAACAGCTAATAGAAACAACAAAAGCAATTTATTAAAACTGAAAAAAAAAATGAATAATAGAAAGCCTGACTAGCCATTTCCATCATTAGAGTCAATAGGCTTCCACTGCAGATACTGATGAATTAAAGCCTATTTAACAATTGTATTATTGTTTATATGTTGGATACTTTTTAAGTTTATTTTTTTAAATGATTTTCTAGCTTTTGGTTAAGTTTTATTATATTTATGGTTTTCATTATCTTGTCAAACATTATACAGTATAACCTCTGAATAGCAGACATTGTCAGGACCAAGAAGTTTGTCTGCTATTTGGAGATATATGCTGGTGACCATATTGTATTTTAACCCGGTCATAATAAAGTGAAGAATATGGTGGATTGCAAAAACATCAAATTTGTGTTAGGAATGTGAAACTACCAAAAAGTATACATGGCATATATATATAATATATAAAAATTATATTACAATTAATACAAAGTATTAAAACAAAAAGGCCATGACAATAGAGAGGTTGAGGCGCACGTTTTAAACGTGTAAACATGTACGTGTGACGTTCGGCGCCGCTTTCCCGTAAGCCTAAAAGTTTGACAATGGTGTTTGGATAGTCGGTGGAATCACGCTCGACATTCCAAACACCATCGTCAAACTTTTAGGCTTATGGGAAAGCGGCGCCGAACGTCACACGTACACGTTTACACGTTTAAAACGTGCGCCTCAACCTCTCTAATAATTATATTTTGTTGCCTTGTAATCCAGAGTAGATTCTTGTTGAAATATCCAATACTGATTACTGAACTGTTGAATAATGTTGGGAAGAATACATTACAAATATATCAGTAGGATAGGATTAGGTAATGGAATAAAAAATGTTTTTATCACTTGTTCAAATTCCACTCTAAACTATAGATAAACCTGATATGCTAAGATGAATAATATTGCTTATCAATGAAAGAAATGTGTTTTATTTATTCTCTGTCATTTCTAACATTAATAAATATATACTATCAATATTTTTGGAAGTATAGAAAAATTATTTTGATGCCAATACTAAATGAATTTATAATTTTAAAATATTCTAGTTATATCTTTTATAGGCATATCTTTAATATTAATTTATATTTTATATTTATTTTTTAGCATCTATTTTAGGAATGGATCATCTGCATTGGCCTAAAAAAAATTTCAAATATTTCAGAAGTGATCAAATAAATGAAAAATTTTGCTGCATTTGCCATATTATGGGAACAAATGGTAAATTAATGGATTAATTATGTATTGAATAAAAACGTAATAAAAATTTAAAACATGAAAATAAATATAATTTATAAAATTTAATATTCACTTTTTTATTTTTACATATATTTTAGTATAATTAATACTTAATTATATATATATTTCTATAATTTTTAGGAGATATCCCTCTTCTTATAGATTGTCTTCTTGATAAAATAGAAACACCTGTTTATTGTAGGCAGTCAGTACTAATTTTAAATGAATTGCTTTTGGGAATTAAGTATAAAAAAGAAAAGATGAATGAAATGAATGAGTCAGCCCATCTAATTGAATATTTTAAGTATGAATTTATTATCATTATTATTATTATTAAATAATTTACTTAAATTAAATATTATCTATTCTATTTCAGAATGATAATGGAAACATATTTATCATCTGATTTATTTAATGTAAAAGTTAGCAATTTTACAAACTCTGGAGAAGAAAATCTTTCTTTAGAAAAAATTAAAGCAAATATTCAACAGGTTTGCTTATTATTAGAAGGAATTTCCAATTTAGCAAAAGTAAGTACATTATTTTTAATATATACAGACACTGACAACCTAAAACATTAACCACCCAGCAGTGACTAATGATCCATCAAGGGTGATCATGTGGCACTGGTGAACAATGGCTATACTCACAAAAGAATTTTGCTGATATCACCAAAAACTACCATTAAAAAAAATTTCACATAAAAAAGGAATTATGTAACGATAAAAAGACTTTTCTTTACTAGACATAACTGTTTACAAAATCTTTTTCTGAAACGGTAATGAGAAAAAACATGTGGGAAAATACTTTAAAAATTTCCCATGTTTATTCTCCACTACATAGGGATAGCACCATACCTGACTAACCAACTACTGAAAGGTTATTGAACTTATCCAATATGCAAATATTAAATCTATTAAAAAAAGGATAAGAACAATTACTCTTAACTCTTTTTATATATTTTT